ATTTTTCAGAACTAAGATATAACAGTTAGAATCGGAGTAGAATGGCAGTATACAGCAGATGCACGTGGTACATGTCTTCATCGATTAACTGAAATAGAAAATACGGATATAAGCTTAACAGGCTTATTTAGAAAGACTAGTGTCTACTTTGAACCTACTGCGTGAGAAAGTTATACTGGAACTACGAATAATGTAGGAATCTAGTCTCCCGGGGCGTATGAAGCACTCAAACTGGAAGACAGTTGTCCAAAAATAATTCGAATATGAAGGTGAAAATTTGCAGGTACCTTTCATCGTAAGGGTGAACATATTAGGTACCGGTTGACATCATACCGTAAAAAAAACACAAATTTGCGAGTGGTAAAATATGCTCTATAAAAAAGTGAGCTTAATAACAGTTAATTACCCTTTTGCTCCCTGATCATGACCCTTCGGCTTCCTTTTATGGCCAAAACAGCAAACACACACTACACACTGATAGCAGACTTCCGGATTTTCAATGTTAAGCTTGCTTTAACGCACGACGTAATGAGTACAATCCCTCCATTACTGCTATATGGTATAGTTTTCATAACAAACCCTCTGCAATAGATTGGTAGCATCTGTGACTTCATCTATGGTTATCGGAAGTCCGAGTCCTTTCGAAAACAATACTGATATCCCCTACTGCTGGGTAGTCTGTATTAGTTTGACTCGTTGGTGGAATAGTGTTGTCCATATTACTGAAGAAAGTTGAAAACTGCAGATTGTTTCCTTTCATTTTGCCGATAACATCATAAAGAACAGTTAGGAACGAACATGCGGACAGTAAGTCACAGGCGGCAGCAACAACTATTTTAGCTAAATAAAAACGAACTTCGGCTTCGGATATCTAGAAAACAAGGTAAGACATAACCGATTTTCGTTTAAAAACGCAAGGTCTTATGTTAGTACTAGCCAGCTTAGCTGAATAAATACAGTGACTTCAGTAGCAGCAGGTAAAACCCAGAAGACGAAGCAAAATCAGGAAAAAATTTACTCCAACGTTTAGAGTATCACACTAACTTCTGGATTTTAGCACACTGAAACATTAAATTATGCAGCTACACAAAAGAAATAGCGGAAAAAACACAGAACGAAGAAGGCCGGCCGACATTTTATAACACAAGACTAGCCAGATTGCCTGAAGAAATACATTGACTTGAGTAGAAGCAGCAAGTATTTTGAGTTTAACAACGCCTTCACACGTAAAACGTTTATATTAGTAGTATGCCAACTCTGTCCTATAAGAAATCAGAAGTCAAGTTGTTTGAAGTGATATTTGACAGGTTGTTGAATAGTGTTCGGTCTAAGCTGACTGTCGGCTATAGAGGATGTGCGGCATGGCGTACTCACTCGTGATCTGGAGTGGATGAGCAACCCAGAGCCTTGAGGTAGTTGAGTTCAGTTAAACCAGTGCGATCATCACCAAATGTCGAAGACTTAAGGGACTATTAATTTGGGGGGTTTATTTAGCGCTACATTTCGTACAATAGGTCAGAATTCTCAGTGAAAGGCAAGCTTAGTGAGTGATATCTTATCGTGCATTTCGTATAATGAAAACATCGAAAATCTTTGCTGAGCTAAATACATGAATCGTATGAGCCGGTTCATATAATGGTTTAAATGGATGTTCAGTAAGAAAATTATCAGTCCTACAAACTCCACTGGAAGCCAGTTTATCGTGCAATAAAATACCGGCTGCAGAGAATAAAGAATAAGCTTTTTACTCACCACTGATTCGAAAAATTTTGTTCTTTTACGTCAACTCACAGTCACACGAGAGGTCTTCAACTCTCTATAAAAAACCTGCAATACACCACTATTTATTAGCTGGCTAGAATTAATTGAACTTGCTGCGCATAAAAATATAAAAAGGTTTCTTCAGTTGAATCCTCGCTAAATACTGTTTTAAATCATAGTATGAAATAATTCACATACTTTAAGAGATAATGAAACCCATTAGGAGTCCTAGTTCATCAAGATTCGGAAATGTAGGTGTTTGCGGAGCGTTGAACGTATCATGCAATGAAATATATAGAGGATGAGTACAAACTCGGAAGTATAGAGTGCAATAAGGCACGACAATGATAGCAAAAATGTATCAGTCTTTCAGTAGAATAAAGAAAATATATTACTTGCAATTAGAAGAGCAAATGACTCTTGATTTGTACTATGATGATTTCAACTTATCAATAAGCTAATTAGCCAATTTTTCCATTTTGGTTTTAAGCGGTGAGTAAATCCCTAAAATCAAAAGCTCTGTAAGTCTTCAACATTCGTTTTAATAGATTCAACTAGTTGAATGCGCTCGGCCATGCATCCGCACGAGATTACAAGTAGGAACGCCTGCAACCACTGGCCAGTTTAGGTCAGCCGCTTGTCAACATATTGATAACCCGTCAAAAATGTCTCCGAATCTACTCGCTTCTGACTTTTGACTTCACTGAGTGGACACAATTCATTATAGAAGGTGTTATTGGTCAAAGTGTTATCAAACTACAAGTACCTGTGGCATCTTTAGGTTCTTACTTGTCGCTGCTAGAAATCGTAAAAGTTGACTACCTTGTGGTCAAAATGCATTAAACGATGACCAAACGTTGCAACCATTAGTAAATACTCAAATAAAATTTATTACAAATTAGAAAATGTCATGGTTCATCTGAATTATAGTATATTAGTGTCAGACTGTTCAAAGCAAGTTAAGTACAATCAGCCAGTTCCGTTTGGCCATAATAACTCAAGTGTTTATTCAAATACATGATCACATTAAACTTTAGAAGAATACACAATGCCAAAACGTATAATCAGTATACTAGAGGTGATGTACATCTCAAAACATAAATATTAAGTATTCTAATTGTCGTATGAATTAGGAATTCCAGGATTAACGCAATTGAATTAAGAATACACAGGCACAAACGAATGTATTGTATCTAGAATTCGAAATCAAACATTCAACCAGTACAAAGGTATCATTAGTCCATTCAAACACCACATCCGCCACAGCTTAAATAGAAGTATAAGTGTTTGTAATCGGTTGTACGTCTTCTTGTTAAGTTCATCCTGAGTCTGTCCGACATTGTATAAGATAAAAACTTTGTAGTATCTAGAAAGTGCTCATTAGTATTGGAATTAACAAACGAAATCGGAACAGACTCACCTGGAATTGTATACAACCAGCATGTCGGTTTTGTAATGAAATCAATAATATCTAGAATTCGGACCATAGATTTTTCAATCCTATCCTCCCCCACGAAATAATGTTGGATCTTTATATCCCCAAGTTATGAATAATGTGGCTTCATTTAAAACATATTTCTCACATTGTTTAGAGTAAACATTAGAACTGTTTTTGTGATAAGGGTAAACAGCAGTTGGTATGAAATCATCCGAAATGTAATCGAACTCGAAGTCACTTAGTACTCGTGCTTCGCATTGAGCAGGTTTTTCACAAGGATCGAATGCATTATGAGGAGAGGTAATATAAGATATGACATCAGGATTTGATTCTTCTGAAATATCCTCATGAAATTCATTAGGACTGTCATTGCACAGCGTAGGATCGTTAGAAAAATCAGCATCTATCCAAACCACATCAGGTTTCCGATCATGATTAGGTTCATCTAACATATTTTCCTCAATATTGCAAGTAATTTCATTAGAAATATGTGAATCATTAGGAAAAGTCATACCTGGTACAATAGCATGAGAATTCTGATAAATCGGTTGATTAGGAACTGTTGTCTCACAAGAATTCTGGATTTCATTTAACTCTGAACTGCCATATGACTCTGCACTGTCTTTTGAAATCGTTGATAAAGATAAATGATCATTAGAAACATCCGAATTATTGAAATTTAAATTACGAGATTTAGTACAGCTTGAAGCAAAATGGACGGTAGCTTTGCATACTGACTGAATGTGTCTTACCTTACCACATTTAAAACATTTAGCATTACGAAATACACATGGATTGCGAGCATGAAACTTTCCACATGATAAACATTTACCAAACTTCATCTCACCTTTTTGATTTGCTTTGTAATTCCTCGTTGAAACACCTTTCATATTTACACGAGAATAGGATTCACCGTTAAATGAACGCAAGTTTGATTGACCCTGAGATTGTAGTTCATCAGGACGACTAAGCAAAGTATTAGAAATCTTCATCGACTGGATATCTAGTTCATCCACTGCTTCATAGTTAATACACGCAGTTCTAGCATCTTGTAAGGAACAGTTTGGCATTCTTAACAGCTCTCTTTCCAAACTCGGTATGTTAATTCCTGCAATTACTCGATCTCTCAGTTGCACATGAAGTTGATCACCGAAATTACACTTGGCAGCTTGTTTCTGTAATTCAAGGATGAATTCCCGAGCCTTTTGGTCATTTTGACGAATCATCTTATGAAACTTCGCCCTTTCACGGCATTCAAAACTGGTGCATTTTACATGACTTAATAATAGCTCTTTAAGAGTTGCATAAGGGAGTGAGATAGGTTTTTCGGGATATGCTAAAGTTTTTAATAAGCTGTAGGCTTCTCTCCCAATGAATGTGAGGAAGTATGCCACAATATTAACATCCTCATCATCTTCTTTGGTCATGCTCCAGATTTCGAACCTTTCCAAATAAACCTCAATAGCTTCAGGAGTTGAATGAATATCTAACTTTTCCATTGCAGGTTCCATCACGACGCCAATATAGTATTCTAATTGTCGTATGAATTAGGAATTCCAGGATTAACGCAATTGAATTAAGAAGACACAGGCACAAACGAATGTATTGTATTTAACATTCAGCCAGTACAAAGGTATCATTAGTCCATTCAAACACCACAATATTACTACTAAAATTATTGGTTCGATTATCCTCCATAATAGTCACCAGGAAACACAAAAAACCCGAAGAAATAATACATAATTTCTATTATCAAACCTCAAATTTATCAAGACAGTTTTGAAAATCTTTGTATGATGTTTTAAATAGCAAGAAGGAAATACAAGTTCTGTGCTACTATCATTCTCAAGGTCGTAGAGCGTTGTCTGTATCATAATGTTATTTTCCAAGGTGAGCTTAACTTCAAATAAATATCTTGCACGTTGTATATAAATGGAAACTCCAATATTATGTCCATAGTTGTGATATCTTTTCTTGTTGTATTTTGTTCAATCACATAATCATATTATTGTGATACTATAAATTATGGACGACGTTTGAGGACTCTTTATTGACCTTGAGAATCTCCGCCTACTACCGAGGACTAAATGAGGGTAACAATTCAGTGTGAGGAATTAGAATTGCGATTTACATTTGATGGTTAGGAGTTATATTCAAGGTTTTCATCACGAGCTGACATAATCTATAATGCCAAAACTCTATTTAGCCAAATAGGTGAATGAATTTCGCGCTAATATCTAAGACTTTTCGACGTAAATCTGATTGGTTCGTCCATAAATTGCAGTCTTGCCGGATTTTTCATCACGAACTGACACCAGCTATAGTGCCAAAACACTATTTAAGCTTATTCCCAACACAAACCTTAGGGGTAACACTATTAGACCGGAAGCAACACGACGAAACGGACTGTAGACACATCTTATCATAAGCGGTCAAGTGCTTGGATTCTCTGCCGGCTGAGCTAGTCCAAGGAACTACTCAGGAGCACTTTAAGAGGAAACCTGACATATTCTTAAGGAGTACGGACAGTATCTGGCTATGATTTACTACTCTTCTATCATTAAATATCTATAGGCTCTTATCTAAAAGCATCGGGGATCTATCGCTATTAAAAGCAGAAACCCGTTAGACGAAAGCTTCTATTCCGTCCAGAACTATTTGAACGGTCGGGATCGGAAGATTGATAGTTTCTATTAGTGTTACTGAAAATGCCTCTGAAACGATCAATTAATCTCTTCCCAAGCTGCCAGCTTTGGGGATTTCTCCAGTTCTGGGGAAATTTTGGGTTTTTCGTCTCATTTCCCCAGAATTTACTATAGAGGCTTCCCCAAAATTGACTAAATTTTCCCCAAAGTTGGCAGCTTGGGTTTCGAATGCTTTGGATTGTCAATTTCATCGTACAGTTTCAATAGTAATAGGTATATTTTATCATTTGTTTCATCAAATTAAAGATAACTTCTGGTGATGGTTTTGTACTTCACTGAGGGGATCGACTGAGTAAACAGAAATACTATGTTGGGTCTGCTTTCACCTGCTAGAATTAGCTTCAGCCTTTTAGTTGCTTTGATCGTTTTCAAATGAAAACCTACACTTCGTAATTTGGAACTTATTCCTGTCGGAAAACACCTCAGTTTACCTAATTTACTTGCACAGAAGTTTTTTGCGCAAATGCTTTCACTCAAATATTTTCAATGCATTGAGACTAATTTTCTTTTTTTTGCTACCAGCGATTTTGGTTGAAATCGCTATTGACGACTTCATGACTCAGAGGCAACTGCAGATATTTCATATAGCTTCTTTCAAATGCAATCGTAAACAAATGCTTGTATGCAGAAATGGTTTATTAATCAACAGTAATACTGTATATCTCAGTATAATTCCCACTAAGATCCTCAATGTTCAATATATTGAATGCTTATGATTTACTCACAGTAAATTACCCACTCTTCCAGTTAAAGGGAAATATTGACCCTTACTGTCAATGTCAATCAGTTTTCGTCTCTGTTCACAATGATCATAAAAGAGATTTGGAAATGAAGTGGACTGTATGCGAATCAATGTTCAAAGTATTTGTCCCATTGTCCATAGGATGTAATACCTTGCAACTAAGGTGTGAACACCACCTCGCTGAGTTTCGAATAGTGTATGTACATAATCGTGACTCTCCATATACTGTCAGGCCTATTTATGTAATATGTTCTGATGATACTGGGTGGTTCCAAGCTCCTGCAGGAATGGTTCCCACGAAAGAAAGTGCTTGTAAACGTATTGGGCTAGGAATTAGATTGTTGCAAACTTTGACTGCAGAAGCTTTTCTGTCTGAACTTGGAATGAGATGCACTTTTTTAATTAAGGAAGAACTCAGTCGTAAATCATCGCGAAATATTTCAGGCTGGTCTTCCGAAGCCTGTTGTAATTGTCACTACTCAAGTCTCAGTAAAACGTTTGTTAATAGTAATACTCCCGAAGATGTGTGGAAGAAGTTGGCATACGAGCTCTACGAAAAATATCCTCATAACTTCGAGAACACAAAATGGGTTGCTTTTATGGCTTGTACACGTTATCACCCTCCCAAGAAAATCAATTCCGAATTCCTGAGTTACAATGAAATACTTCTTCGGACAACAGCTCATTTCGCTCTCGGTAAGAATCCCCTTAGGTTTATGTTTTTATTGTAATATACTCCGAAAAATTATTCTTTCCTAAAATTTTGTTGACTAAAACAATCACTGTTTAAAAATGAGACACATAGTTCTAGAGGATCTAGTCTTTGAAGGTTCCCACCAATTGTCGTTTAGTTGAATGGAGGGCATATATTTCGTTCCGTTCGAAACATAGAGTGACAAACGTGGATACTTGTTTATATTGCTTTGTTAAATCAAATATGTTATTCGATGGTTTTCTTAAAATACACCGCTGGTTTGCTTCAATTCTTGGTAGCGTAAGATTAACATTAGATCTACCTTTTGTGGAATTTCGCTTTTATTGGTGCTGATAGTTGAAATCACCAACTTATGGAATGACTGTTAGTGAAAAGAACATACCAGCGATACCAAGAGGATTTACGAGTTATATTCGTTTGATTTAAATCCAAAATCAAAGTGATTTGCGAGACAAAGTTGAGATAAAGATAAGCACTCGAACCGGTCTGCGCACTAAAACTTGATAGGGGCATTTGTTGATCAGGAGAGTATATGAAGGGAAGTTTTCGGGCCTTACTGGGTTGATAAACCAAGAATCTATATCATTATTATAGGAAAGATTGATTTATTAAAATAGACACGACCGATACTGAAAGTTAGCTGTAGTTTCAGCAATAAACCTAGCTCTTCACAGCTGATCACCATTTATACTAGTTGTATGTAAGTAAAGTGAAAACTAAAAATGAGCTAACTGTGGAAGTGGATCGTTAATCAATTGAAACTGCAATTAGTTACAGCTGGCAATGTTTCTGATGCTGACTGATAACTGATTTAGTTCGCCTTCGAATATGTATGGCAATCCATTGCCTACAAGAATTTCTAAGACCTAGTTGTATTTATTAAATAGCATATCTATCTGTTGAATCTTTATGTTTGATAAGAAGCGTTAACTTGAACTGGTGAAAATGTATAACTTCATTGGTTAGTTGAAGCAAAATAGATCACTGAAACATTAGAAAAAGTTTAAATGATTTTTATGGTTTGTAATGTTGAGGAAAAAATTTGAAAAGAAATACGCAAAAGAAAGTGAACATGCATTTCCCAAAACTCACTGGTCGATAATTGGGCTACGTATTTTCCTGAACTTCACAAATATACACTTCAAAAGCTTTACACTTACAAGTCAACGATTAATGATCCAGTAATTTACATGATAAATAATCTACTCCCCAGTTTGAAAAAAAATTGCACACGAATATAAACGCCAGTGAAAAAGCACTAATGATTCTGGTTATTTCGAGTTTAACAGGTTTGATAAATACCACGGTTATAAGTTTAGTGTCCATTTTTCAATGTAAGACTCCTGAAAATTACTTGCAGTGATTATTATACAAAGAAGTCACACTGAACTGTCACCCAGAATTAATAGAAGTGGATATTATACCGAACCAGACCCACACCCAGTTAGTGCGAAATTCAGATGAAAATATTCCGCATTAAGTCAGTGTATGATTTTACACTTAATTTCTTAGTAAATCGTACTTAGGGATTTAACATCCTCATCAGGATGATAGTTTAAATTATAATACAGAATCCACATCACTCCATTAAATCAGGTGTGGGAACCCAGTTGCAATCAGTAGTCCCTGCTCGAAAGTAGTGGTTTTATTGACCACTTAGTTTCATTAAATTACGTTTGACGCATGTAACTATCAAAATAATGCATAAAGTAAATTTTAGCAAGCTTTTTTTCTATTGATATTCAGTTGATCCATACATAATGATTCAGTTTAGATTTTCTTGGTTAAATATTCTTGTCTTGTCAAATTGTGGGTTAGATCCCCATCTGATAGTGTCAGACTTATTTTGATTTGTGAAACGTCCACTTTACTTTTTTTATGAATAGGAACAGGGGGTTTAGCCTTACTTGGAACAGGGACTTTACATGCTTGGCCAGAAACGCTTAAAGATTTGCAGGTAGTTTTGGGTAATACAAGAATTGTTGATCCAACATTGATGGATGACACTGCTTATCGGTGAGTTGTAGTCGTGAGATGCGTATGTAAATTATTTCCCTCTTAAACGATAAGTTATTATCTATAATGGAACCACTGTACTGTTATATCCGTTGTCTAACTCCAATACGTTCGAATCAATAATAATCCCGATGAAATATTGGTCCTATTTACTTCTGTCGACAAATTCTGTTAATAACAACATAGATATGAAAATGTGAATACAAAAAGCATTTGAGGAACACATATTTCTGAAGTTTGATAATGCAGATTAAAAACAAGTGGGGAAAGGAAATGGATGTGAATTAGATTGGCAGAAACAGCCAACTCAACAAATAATGAGCACCTGATCATTTAACTAAAATAAGCAGTATAAAAACTACAGAAGTCCAATTAAAATATAAATGACAGACAAACATAAGGCACACATACGTAAGAGCGCACATGACTTGGTGAACAAGATTACAGATAACAAAGTACATAGGAAGATCATAGAATATTTGGTCAGATTAAAATAACATATTTAATGGTCAGACAAGACAGACTTCGTTCAGGTATGATAAGAGCTGTTATTGTACATATTACATTTTACTTGGTTCTGTTGAACCAAGTCTGAATGGGCTGTTCAAAGCATCCATTCGTATGCATTCTGTTATATTTGAAAAAATTCAACCTGATTCCACATTTGATGTTATTTACATAAGTCAACCAAACCGACCTAACAGTTTTATTCTCCACCTACATCCTGTTGAATAATTTTTATCATTTGTAACTTGAATTCAAATTAGTGTGTACAAATACAGTTTGCTGAACAGTATTTGTCATATTATTTATTATATTTATTTTAACACATAGACATTGGTACAAGGAGGCACCAAATACATATGCGCCACACAAATCTCATTCGATATGTGTGAGGGCTGTGATACTGCCCGGGTGCCCAAACCGAAGCATTACCTATGAAAAAGCTTGTTTCGAACCATTGTTTGAGGGTAATCTTTTGTAGCCATTTCTGGACCTTATTTAAAGGGAGTTCATGGCAGTTGCTACTATAACTGTTCATTTGATAAATCGAAATTAATTTTACTTTGTTCATGATTCTCAATCCGTAATTTACATGATGTTTTTCACTGGTTCCTTTGTCAGACACACTTACTGGGCGGCTTTTGCTACAGGATTGGGTGCTGTTTGGCATGAATTAGGTCATTGTTTCGGACTGGAACACTATCCCCAGGGTATAATGTTTCGTGGTGATGATATTAATTTATGTCTTGGATTTCCACCTCCTGATTCTGTTTGTCCACATGAATCCAATATGAATGGTAAATCTGTCCAAGCTACAGATCGATATGATAGTTCGAATCCTGATAATAGACATAGAAGAGACCTTTGTCAAGTATGCTACTCCTGGTAATGTTAGGTGATTTTTTCAGTATTCAGAATTTCGATTATTTAAAATAATGATTATTTCAATGGTCTGCTAAAAAACAAACCGAAAATTGACTGCGCTCAACAATGACATAATTTTTATCAAATATTTTTATGGTTAACATAAGCTCTGAAAGGTTCTAAACTTAAGGAAAAATAATATGAAAATTCAGTCACGTTAAGCTACTGGAGAAACCTTTTTATACTGTTATTTGAAGATTGCTATTGAGAGCTTACCTATCTTAGATGATTAGTGTCGGTTTCCACATATTATGTTGTGATGAACATTTTTTGTGTAAGTTTCATTTTTTTTGAAGCACCAGGCAACACAACCTTTTATGCTTTAATAAACTTACAAGTTGTTTTGTAATCTTCCACAAAATTATCGACTATTTCCGCCTTTATTGAAATATCACTGCAGTAAAATCCTTTTATATTCATTGTCTTGCCGATTTATCTCTCATCCGGCTACTTCCCGATTCGTATAGAGTATGCAGTCTCTGCTAGAGAAGTCCTACTCACTGCTCTCTCGAGGTAGAGGTATTGTTCACGAGATTGAGAGGACGGAAAGCAAATGTCAGGAGCTTTAACCGGGTTGGTGGGTACGGAGGATCCACCTAGGGGAGTTGGAAAACCCTGATTCTCTATCTCTTCACAACCACGTTTTTGTATGGTGCATATGTATTTGGTCCAACCTTGTACCAGTGTATATGTGTTCAAACAAATAAATAAATATTATGTGTTAGCCGATAACCTACATCCATTTACTGTCATTAATATAGTTTGGTAATCAAAGATAAAGTCTATTTGTATTAAAATAATCGTTTAATTCTCATTCGTAAGCCAAGTAAAACATTTGAATATTGCACGTAATTTGCAAAGCATATTTATGCTTTTCAAATATTAATGTGTATTTTATCATCTGACAAACGATTATATGGTAAACCTTTTTTATTAGATTCAACCCCCGAAGTCATTGTCCCGTGCTATACAATTTCATCGCATAGTGCAATTTCATCCAATAAAGTCTCGTTTACATTCCTCGGATCAAACCACAAATGAAGAAATGAAATTTAAGCGATGGGGATTTTGTAAGTCTTTATGGCATCAAGGTTCTGCTTTTTGGGGAACAAAGGCACTTTCAAAGCTACTTTCATGTCCGTAAGTTATATATGGAAGCTTATCCTTAAACAATACAGATAAAACCCCATGTTATATTTTAAGATGTTCAGTACTTTTATTCGTGGTCATAATACATTTGTATTGGAAATGTTTTTTTGATTAAGATTGTTTTCATCCATTCTTCAACCCTTGATTTATGCACTTAATGTAGATATGGAATTCTTTTATGTAAAACATCATCATGTTTATCATAACTTTTTAACTTCTTTTTTAGATGGATCATCGAAACGCCAACTTTAGATAAAGACAAACTACCTGTTCAGAAATGACTTTAGTTATACAGACGATTCCTTCCATTTTAAAATTCCCTTTGTCCATATATGTAAATCCCATGTAAATTACAAGTGTAGTGTAAATTATTATGTTGAATTTTGTATAATTAAAAATTGTACATTGACATGCCTCACTTATTTTATTAGTCCACTGTTAGCATTTGATCCTCACATGGAAGGTGCAATTTGACATTTAGTGTTAAGTAACTTGGAAATGTAGTGCATCATGTAATTTTGGAGTTGATAGACTAAAATATTTACAATTACATCGTATTTTTTTAAATTCTTACTGTTGATTAAAATGTATCAAGATGCTGACATAACTTGACGTACAGTATTTACATATTAAACACTAGTAAAGGCATCTGCCAGGGCTGAGAATCTTCACCATCATTCAAAATGCAAAAGTATTGAGCGATTTGAGGCTTATCATTAAGTTATCTGTGTTAAAGCAAGAAAGTTCTCTATTTTTATAGAGAATTTCTTTCAGATAACTCAATGGCGCTATTATGAATGTCACTGCTTTACCGTTTGGATTATAGCACTTGTATATTTCTCTTTCTCACAGTCTCTTTAGTCATATTGTTCCGGTTAACAACATCTAAGTATATGTAGTAAACGGCACAAAATATACATTAAACTGAGTTTCGTTTTTGTGCCAATTGGTTTGCTTTCCATACCCAAATTTTTACACTTTTTCTAGAGATCCCACCCAATGACCACTTAATATGTGCCGTGCATAGTTAGAAATAACTCTCCTATCTCTACATCTACAGTGTTTCTAGAATTTGCTTTCTATGCATATTGTGCAGATTGGAGCCATAAAATTAAGAAATGTTTAGATCAATCATCCATTTTTTAAAAAAAATTAGGATTTAATATACAAACTATTGGCGTTAACTGTTGCATTTCCGTTCATCTTACAAGTAATCCATTTATAGCCATTATTATTTTCGTATATCATTGAATCTTTTTCTCAAAATGTGGTCTGATCGATGGGAATAGACTTCTTAAATCGGTGACAAAATTCATTTGGCAATAGAAATACACAAATACTGTGAAACGTAGAGCTAAAATAGAACCATAAATAAATATTTATAAGCACAGATCAAGTCATTATGCTAGTAAAGGTATATCAGATTGAATGTTAGAAAGGCTTAAGCGATGTTGGATAAATTTGGACAAAATTGATGAATTTATAAATATGTATTTGATATGGACTACCGTTTTATTAAATGTAATCCTGTTTCTTGGAATAATATGTATCATCTTATCTTACGCCTGTTACCCATCGTGTAGCACAGGACACCCACCAGAAATCTCCAACCGACTCTGTCCTGGGCTCATAATACAAAAATATGTATCATGATTAAAGGTATAATTCTACAGTCGCACTTCTACCTTAACCACCACCCTTGTTAAACTAAATTAGCATGAGTTACATAAATATCTATTTCATATTTGTCAACCATCATGCTTTACGTTATCTCTCAAACTGGATTGAATTATACATGAAAGCTGAGGCATCTTTTACAATAAATCTGATATTTTGTGTGAATAACAGTTTTCAAGGATTATCACCTAATTATGCAACATTAATGATGTTTTACGTGGTGAATTTTCTTTAGCCCATAATACAGAAAATGTGATCGGATATAATTGGCCTCAGAGAGTGTATTACTAAGAAGAAATAAATAAAGCTCATTACTTATTCATTTATATAAACATTCATCAAAATTTGGACGAATAGTGTGCCATAAATCGGGTGCCAAGTATATATAAGGAAATATTTCCTTGAAGACGCTCAGACCAGTTTTCCGGTCGAAGTGATGGAATCGTTTTAATTTCAATAGTCGAGATTATTTCAAATTATCACTTACATCCAATATCATTTTTGCAATAGCTTTTCGAATTAAATCAGTTTATCATGAAAACTACTGAAACATCAGAATAATCCAACTTTGAATGACTTTTATTTTAAGTTATTCGAGTTATAGATACCCAGTTAGTTTATCCATCTAAAACATGTCTTTTACTTGCGTATAACTTATCTACTAATCTGTCTGGTGAATCACTAGTTTTTAAAATTTCTATTCTGCTCACATTTTTACGATTAGGACGTTAGATTACAACCTCAGTTCCCTCTTCACAGAAGAAGTAATACCACAAATTTGTTAAAAAGCAAAAATCTCATCTTTAAATTTCACAGAACATAGGTCAAATTACATCTTGTCTTTATTCTGTTCCCAGTTCGTGATCAAGCCTATTTTCCAAAAATCATGGACTAGTATGAAACAAGGCATACATTACAAGTTAACGTATACTAATGGTGACCTACTGACAGAGCAACCTATTGTACACATTAATAAACGAAATAGTGTAATTTATTAATAAGCTAGTTACTCTTCAAATACATCATTGAAAGTAAACGTGGAAAAATATTTTCAAAACAAATGGACTTTTGTCCAGTTTTTTTATAGGGGATTTTGCCACTAAGCATGTTTTACGCTTACGGACGACGTCTTAATATGTTACCATAGCCATTAAAAAATAGTACAACTAACTTGGATCATATATCAACCACACAGCTAGTTGATTTGCAACTTTCGAACCGAAGAGGAAATGCAAATTTCCCAAAACTGAAAAAATTCCACTGGTTGCACAAAGTAACAGTGAAAGACGTCGAATCCATCTATCAGACAACTGATGACGCTAAATAGTCATTTATAAAAAGATTTCCAAAATAAAATTTGGTTAATTCTCAAGTGTTTTGGATGATATGTTTATCACTAAAGCTTTTACCATCAGAGTTTAGTGGTCAACAAAAATCAGACTGTAAATTCTTGACGTCGCACTAATAATGCAGTGGTATGAGCTTATTCTTTTGTTATGATTGGGTAATCTTTGGTGATTAGAGACAATAAACAAGAATCTCTGGAACTAAGTTTTGTTATAGTCGATACTTTTTAGTAAACGATATTGTAAATATCGAGTAAACTGGTTCTCTCTGTGAGATATAGATCTGTGTTATCTAGTGTTGACGTTTAGAAATATTCGGTGCGCAAATGGCCTACACGACTGAGATGGCAAAATAATGCCTGAATACCAACCAGTGGCCATGCTGAGTAATCTATGACATTAATTTTCCACTCTTAGACAAGTTCCCTCCCATATTTTCTCAATTTCTCATCTTCTTGAACAAGTTAATCTTTTGGAGCTTGAGAAAAATTCAACTCTAGTGTGATTAGTAAGTTTGACTGCATATATTATGAATATAAATTAAAACTTTATCGGATGAATTAACGTTTGTTTGAATGGTAAAAGAATGTAAGATACGGTTGAAGAATTTCCAAATCATAGAGCAAAATGAAATTTTATGACCACCTAGGGGACATTTTGAAGCCGAGTAAAACCGTAAGAATCCATCCGCCCCTTATTTCTCGTTGACTAAAGTTAGTTTAGATACTCACTACAATGCTCGAACCAATCTCTGTTAGGTTTGTGGATGTGCATTGATGAAGAGTCCCACACTTAGAATAAACAACCATTGAGTGCTTCTTAATCTCTGGTGGTTGTCCAACTATGGTCAATTCGTGATAGAAAACTGGAAAACCCAACAATCTCCACAGTCTCTTTATACTGAAAATAGTTTAGTACAGTGATTTAGTGTTTATATTACTGAGAAATCTGGACTTTTTTTAGCTTACACATAACAAGTTTCGCACTCATAAAACCCAAAATAATAATAGTCCAAACTCAGTAAAATATGTACTGATACCGCTTCGACAATAACATGACTATCAATATAATCTTCATGAAAATGGTTAGTCAATCAAATATTTCGGAAGAAAGGATTTATGACCGAACAAAAGTTTAATGATCAATGTTTTTGCAAATGCAAACTCTTCTAACAAATCAAGCAAAATTACTCAATATTAATCACAGAAAAAATGATGGTTATTTTTTTTAAAGACGTACAATTTCTGATCCAAGATTAGTACATCGATAAATCCATTTCACAGAACGTTCAGAAAATAAAAGCAGTAAATTTGTCGATAACCAAATTGCTTTACACGAAGAAAAAATAATCAAAAAGAAGTTTAAGGATTCGCATTATTATTAGTATAGACCTTACAGCAGCGATTATGAACACATGTGCTATTTACGTAACCATGAATTCAAACCTTTTAACATCAATTTAACTCTTAATAAATGTACAGATAGATCAAACTTTTCTAAAGATTTTTTCAGTATGATGATTTCGGTTTTAATTACGGACCGGCATAAAATGATGAACCATGTTTCACAAGACATTTGGATCATCAAAGGGTGGGATTTATCAAAAGTGTATAAGATATTGAGTTCTGGTGATCAATATGATCCTGTTTTTAAATCATTGATCTAAAATTCTGTAGTATACATTTTTAAACTTATTCGAAAATTAATGAAATAATGGCACCAGTGCCGAATGGCTTCAATGAGTATCAGCTCAACCTCTAACATTGTTGACTCCACAGGGGCCATAGCTTTTACTGGAACTTGAGAAATTCATCTCTAAACTTGTCACATTTATAATGATTAGTTAGTTAGGTTATTCGTAAAGAGTTATTCGACTCAAAGATAGTCCTCATCGACGAGATGCATAATATCGGATTCTGACTTACTATGAGGTCTAAAGTCATTGTAATCACCACAAAATTTGGATGCTCTAGGCTTGATTACAGTTGAGCTACAAGAGATTGAGCACTATCACGATCCTTTGAACGAAAACAAATCAGGTGTTTAATATTTTCTGATTTTCAGTGGTTCTTAAACTAGTCTCAGTTTATGATGAATTATTTTTGGATAAATTAGTTTTATTCAGAGATATTTATGTCAACTCATTTGGGAATATTGGAGATGCTGATAATGCGTGTACAATATTCTGTGATTTTGCATCACGCATACTTTCGAAATTCGAACCAACTAAATGAAACATCGGCGAATGAAATACACTTTTAAAGCCATGTAAGCAGTTAAACAAAAAAAGATAACTATGTAGATTGACTATGCAGCATTAACCTATGTTGAAAAGTGATTTCACCAGCTACTTGAAACGAGCAATGAAGGAATCCTGAAATTGATCTAGCTTAGATTGACTCGCGAATCCAACTGTTTAAATACTACTGTGGTGTGAGCTATTTATATCCACATAAGTAGTATATAACGATAGTCAGGAATAGAATGTATTTCAGTAGAAGATCGAGAAGGAAAGAACGGGGACGAAGAGAAATTGGTATGGAAATGCAGGAACAATGAAAACTAGGACGATGGACTGTTATTTGAAAAAGAAACAGTCCAGTTTGAGACAATTGATTGATATTTTGCAAATTAAGTATTTACTGTATGGTTCTCAAATTTTACTAAAATGTTCTGTAATTTTGTGTTTCGATACATCCGGGTGTCCCTATTGGTGTTCTTGTTCACTGCACTACGATCTCCAGAAATCCTAAGCTGTCGTTTAAATGAGTGAACAGAGAATGAAATGCATAAGATTTTTATGTAACTAGCGACAATGTATAGAAACATAAACTGATGACTATCAATCTACCTTTTTTACACATATCCAAGTATCACTGGTCTTCTTGTAAGGACAATTAAAACTTTTCTGCAGATATTAAGATGAATGGTGCTCCATGTTATAGTGAATATGAGATTAGTAATATTCAACTCATAGGTATGATAAATAATTTTGGTTGTTTGCTCAAAAATCCTTTTGCCTAGCTAAAGTCTGTGAACTACTGGTAAATTAAATATTCGGATGAACTTTTAAAATAACCTATATCAACCATACTCCAATTATCTTCGAAGTTTCAACTGAATTTTCGAAAATTGGTCTACATTCACCTTTCATTATGACTGGAGATGATGGTGAGACTCTAATTTATGGACGAGCCAATCAGAAGCGTTTGAGCAATTTCAAGGTCACGTAGCCAAGTTCAACACTTGATGTTCACATACGGTCAGTTTACAGCGGATTTTAGAGAAGAGGTGATTATTGAGAGGCTAAAAGAGATGAGACTACTAGGAAGTTCCTGTACCTGTGACTGCGGTTATCAAATGACTGCAGTAAAGTGTGCAGACTACCGTGATGAGATTGTATTTCGTTGTTCTTTATGTTAGAGGAAAACGTCTGCTCGAACGGGAACTTTCTTCGCTCGATCGCGACTGAGACTGAGGCAGATCATGATAATAGTTGCAAATTGGATAATAAAGACACCAGTAACACTGGCTGCGGCGTTTGCAGATGTTACCGAAGCTTCAGCAGTCCAGTGGTATGAGTATTGTCGTGACATGTGTGCAATTAAAATGACACGTCTACACCAATCATTCGGAGGATAAGGATGTAATGAGGAGATAGATGAAACAGTAGTGAGAAAGCGAAAATAAAACAGCGGACGTAGTATCAAGGAAGATTGGGTAAATAGCACTTTCGTAAATATACTTGACAGGTACTTGGAATTTATGATCGATCAACGCAAAAAGGGCATTTTCAGAGGGTCAGAAACCAGCAAGCAAGCACAATAGTACCAATTATACAGGAATACGTGCAGCCGGGCACTACAGTATATACGGATGATTGGAGAGCTTATAGATGCCTATATGGACTTGGGTATGTGCATCATGTCGTAGTGCACAAGCGCCATTTCGTCGACCCTACAACCGGCGTTCATACTAATAATATTGAAGCCATGTGGTCCAGACTGAAGGAATTTTTAAGACCGTACCACGGCTCTAGACGACGACTGTTATGGAGCCATGTTGACGAGTTCCTATATCGCATGCATTATGATTTCAGAACATCTGAACCTTTATCAAACCTTAACAAGTTTTTAAATCATGTAAAAGAAAAATATCCACTGTAATTCATTAGTTTCTTACAATATATTTTTACTGTATACTGTCTTTTGATTGGCTAATAATTGTCAAGGTCATTTAAGATTCGTTCAAGGTTCGTCCATAAATTAGTCTTGCTGAGATGATTAAATAAGTGTGGAATTCATCAATTTTAATCATTTTGATAATCGTAGAACCTGTATTTTCTATTTAGAGTGATTAAGTCGAATTATTCGATGACAGTGACCATATTATGTGGTATTTTTGATCTCCTACATCGAAAGCGATTGTAAGATCTTAAAGAAAGAAATCATTGAGGTTAAAGCTTTTGGTTTCTAAAAGCATTAATATTAGCTCTACGTAAACCAGCGGCGATACATCTTTAAAATTTTATGTCAGTTGTGAAAGATAGAGGACATTCGTTCCAAGTTTTCAAACTATAATATGACACAAATCAATGGTGATTACTGGTAAACACATCGTTAGTAAATAGAGATTGGTTGGTTGGTTTAATTCTACGATAACTAGAATCTTTTACTAAAATTCCTAAGCAAAATGGACTGTAGTCTGTTCAAATGAGTTCGTTCTTGAAGCATCAAATATTTTATTTCGTGTAAATGAGGTCACTTCAGTGTAAGTACTGCATAGATTCATAGGAATGAAGTAATTATTGCGCACAGTTCAGGAAAATCTATGTGTATTTATATCTTCACTTTGTACAGACAAGTACTTGAAACCCGATTTTTTAAATTAACAATTGAAGCTGTCTAGAAAATAAGGTCATTGATTTACCCAACTGTTTAGCTTATTTCAACTTGGATAAGAAAATTCAATTAGGCACTGAACGTATACTATTACACACATGGTAACAAGTTAGTGTTTCTCTACGTTGAAATTACCATAAAGGTTTTATCTCAGTGTAACGATACATCATCTAAGTTCATTTATCTGTCGTTCTTGTGTCAATAATTGGGACCAAATAAAAATATTTAACAATACAATTATGTTACACAGAATGAAAATTAATTGTTAATTCTATATTTTTTGATAGTTTACATAACGAACTAATCCCAATTAGACGACCATTGAACAATAGGAAGCAGTGAACAGCTATTTTGTCCTTGTATGAGACTCCTCAATAGTTCATATCGCCGACCTCATATTCAGTCGAGTTCAGGACCTTCATCTCTCGCAGTGAACGCTTAGCTTCTATACCACTAAACTGACATCCAATAGTTTACATAGATAACTTAAATAATTTTTATGTTTTATTAAATACAAGCTTTTTATGGATATTGTCTTAACAAGACAACAACTTTAATTTCAGTGATTCTCAATATAGATCATTGTCAGCTCTGAATTGTGACAACTTGATACAAGCATTTAAAAATGAATACAATTTTAAAAAAATAAGACATTTACCATTTGTTTTATCAATTCCATGATATAAAAGAACAAATGAATAGGATAAACTAAGCGCTAACCAGTTTTTAATGATAGGAAAGGGAATTAATAGTAATGAATGTTTATAATTTGACGGTAAATTGAACTTCATAACAGGTATAAAAATATAACTGGAAAAGATTTAAAAAAAAGAAAAGTTGATCATAATCTTACTACATTTGTAATTAATAATTTATAGCAAATTAAAAAGCTTAATTTCAGTAATATATTTACTAGTCTAAACAAAGAATGAATGTATGGACGTTTGAGAAGTATTTTTTAATAAATGTTTCAATTTTGACATGATACGGATATTTGTACTAAAAATTTTATGAATCAACATAATATCCACTACTTACATTTAACAGGTGCGTATGATAAACAAGGAAGAATCTGAATTGGGTCAGTCACGAGCGGAATAGGTCAGCGGAAAAGTCCCTCATTGTGGGTGACCCTGGGTAGAATCCACCAGGGAGCATCAGTTCTCTCAACACTGCAGGTATGCTTTATTGTTTATAACTGCTTTCAACCACCCAACACATGGGAATTTGTTTATATGGGAATCATCTTGCTGGTAATTAAACTACTAAGTAAATTATTGGTAACAGTGATCAGCATTTCTGTTACTCAACATAGAATAATCATAGTCTCATTGAGGATAAAGTGTAAATAGATTAATTATTACATGAATGCCCCCAAATGCCCTGGTATGGCCGAGAGCGGGGTGGGTTCGCCCTCTCTCTCGAAATACTCTCACACGGCCACGCGTATACAGCCTCTGCCAGGGAAGTCCTACTCACTGCCTTCTCGTGACGGGGGTGTTGTTTACGAAAATGAGAGGACGAAAAGCGAATGTCCGGCGCTTTAACCGGATCCCAAGCCAAACTAATGTTGCACATGGGCTCCAGTATCCTGAGGGAACAAATGGCGTATGAACCAATTTTCGGTCACCAGCTACCATGGGACTGCATCTCCTTACGATGCTCCACTGCCTTGTGGGTTAGACCTTTAGGTCAAAGGCTCGGAGTGTGGCCCCCTAAGATAACCACCTGCTTCGGTCTGGGCACCCGGGTAGTATCGCAGCCCACACGCAATTAATGAACTGAACTGTCTATGATCATGGAAACTAATTCTCTTGCTTCGACGAACATTCAAATGATTCAAATATTATTATTATTATTATTATTATTATTATTATTATTATTATTATTATTATTATTATTATTATTTACTACGTCATTATTCACCCTCCTTTATTCCCACTCTGTTTATACTTATTTTTTTCGACTTATACAGCAGCTCGTCTATGGTGGAAATTCGACTCTATCTAAACGTTCTCGAGTCACTGTCCGGTTGAAAATTGTATGTTACCACCAAATACGAATACTGAAGCAATTTTTCCGGAACCACGAGCACCATTCAAACTGGCTGCCTTCAATGTTATCACACTAATTCAGGTCGGACAACAGATAGGGCTGGCTATGTCTTTGGAAAGTCTTAATATCGATGTTTGTTGTCTATCCGAGACCCGTATTCAAGACTCTGGTGAAGTACTACAAATTCGCTCTCCATCTGTCGCTTCGAAAAGCTTGTTTTACGTGCGCTTATCCGGAGACCCTGTGGCATTTTCGTCTGGTCTTGCTGGCGTTGGTGCCGCACTAAGCGCTAGAGCTGAGGCAGCACTAATTGATTGGATCCCCATTAACAGTCAGTTATGTGCTGTTAGATTAGAGAGTTTCATCAAAGTGAGAAGAAATCGGCGTGAGAAACGATATCTTTTCGTCATCTCCGCCTATGCCCCGACAGATTGCAGCCCGGATGCAATCAAGGATGAGTTTTACCACCAGTTATCTGTTCTTCTCCAGAAAGTACGTTCGACAGATATTGTAGTACTAGCCGGAGACTTGAATGCTCAGGTCGGGCGTCTAGGCACATAAGAGGGTCGTTTAGGTGGCCGATGGGGACTCGTTGGTCGCAGGTCAGATAACGGGGACCGTCTACTGTAACTGTGCGCAGACTACAACCTGTTTCTGGCTAGCACTAACTTTCGGCACAGTCATCGCCGATGTGCCACCTGGCGTCCTCCCTCTGCATCTCAAGTCTGGACTCAGATTGATGACATCGCGATCAGCTACCGCTGACGTGGTTGTGTACAAGACTGCCGCTCCTTTTGGAGTACCTATCAGGACTCTGACCATGCCTTGGTCTGCGCCAATCTTGCCTTACTTTTCAGTGGACAACGAAGTGATCGCCTCCAACGGATTGATGTTAGCAAGCTGGCTGCAACTTCTGTTGCTAGTAAGTATCGAAACGAGTTAGTTTCTAGGCTTGCTACCACTCCACCGAAAAGTATAGATGAGCATTGGTTGCAATTGCATGACGCCATGAAAATGGCGGGTACAGTCAGTTGTGGGTTCGCGAAACGTCCCACTTTTAAGCACTGGGTTTCTTCTGGTTCCTTACAACTCATTGAAGCCCGTCGGTCTACTCCGGGTAACCGTGAGTTTGACCACAAACGAAGGTTGTCACGTAGTGAAATTGGGCAAAGCTTGTGTAAGGACCGAGAAGCCTGGCGGTCGGAGCGTGCTAATGAGTTGGAAGCAGCCGCTGCATCTGGTAATTACCGGAAGCTCTTCCAACTCATCCGAGCCACTGGCAGCAAGAAGTCTGGTATGAGCGAAACAATCTGCGAGGATGATGGGATGCCAATCACTAACATCCATCGACGTCTTGGACGATGGGCAGAATTTTTTGAATTGCAGTTCAACTGGCCTGCTGCTCCGGCAACATCGGTCAGACTGTCCTGCCCTCCATGGCCGGTGACGACCGATCCACCAAATGAGGCAGAAGTCCGCAAGGAACTCCAACTCTTGAAGCGTTACAAATCACCTGGCCCAGGTGACTTACCTCTCGCTCTTTATAAAGATGGTGGTGACTTTCTGACTAAGGAATTGACGACGTTGTTTACAAAGGTCTGGGAGCTAGAGAGTGTACCAACGTCATGGAATGAGTCGATAGTTGTCCCTATCTTTAAAAAGGGTTCACGTCGTTCCTGTAACAACTATCGGGGGATAAGTCTACTTCCGATTGCGTCCAAGCTATTGGCTTCCGTCATACTTCGTAGGTTGTTCAAAACCCGAGAAAGATTGACTCGTGACGAGCAGGCTGGGTTTCGTTCTGGTGGAGGATGTATTGATCATATCTTCACCCTCCGCCAAATGTTTGAACACCGTCATACTTTTCAAAGGCCAACAATCGTAGTGTTTCTTGACATCAGGGCTGCCTTCGATTCGTTGGATAGGACTGTACTCTGGGATTGTCTGTTGAAGAAGGGTGTGCCTGAGAAGTTTATTAACATCCTAAAAGCCCTATATACAAACACCTCAGACAGAGTGAGGGCATACAACCACCTCTCTCCATTGTTCTATTCGAGCAGTGGGGTTAGGCAGGTTTGCCCAATCCCGCCATTCCTCTTCAACTTTGCCATCGATGACATTCTGGAAACAGCTCTGATGGATGTAAGTAATGGTGGTGTGGATCTGTTGCCTGGAGAAAGACTTCTCAACCTTGAGTATGCGGATGATATTGTCTTACTGTGCGATAATGCCCAAGCCATGCTATCCGCACTTAATCAGTTGGCAATCAGTGTCCGTAGGTATGGTATGTGCTTTGGACCTTCGAAGCACAAAGTACTTCTACAAGACTGGCGGGATTCTAATCCTGTACTCACCCTGGACGGTGAGCAGATAGAAATAGTCGAGAAGTTCGTGTATCTGGGTAGCTGCATAAGTGCTGGTGGAGGTGTGAGTGATGAGATCAATGCACGAATAGTGAAAGCCAGAGCGGCTTATGCCAATCTGGGCCACCTTTGGCGCCTTCGTGATGTTAGTCTGGCTGTAAAAGGTCGGATCTACAACGCGTCGGTGAGAGCAGTTTTGCTCTGTGCTTGTGAAACCTGGTCTCTCCGAGTTGAGGACGTTAGACGACTCTCTGTTCGATCATCGTTGTCTCCGAAGGATTGCTGACATCCAGTGGCAACACCATATCAGTAATGCAGAGGTTCGGCATCGTGTGTTCGGGCACAGAGATGATAATGCAATCGATGTCACCATCTTGAAACACCGACTTCGGTGACTTGGACATGTTCTACGAATGTCATCCCAGAGAATTCCACGTCGTGCATTATTTGCCGACTCTGGGACTGGTTGGAAAAAGCGGAGAGGTGGTCAGTATATGACATGGTGTCGTGGTATGAAAGAAAGCTACAAAGGACTGGCTTCTGTTGGTCCTTCACGACTCCCTGGTTGGGGTCCGAGAGATGGTACAACACAATGGTTAGAGACGTTATCAGATATGGCTCAGAATAGAAGCCAGTGGCGATCATGCTGTAACCTTCTCTTACTTTCTTCATAAAACGTGGTTGTATCTTCCTTAACTGGAAGATTTCTTCTGATTGTACCCTTCTGTTTCCCTATTATTACTATTATTATTACACTACCTTACACCAATCTCTTCGTTATTTTTTTTGTACGTTCCCCCACTTTTTTTTCTTTTTCTTCTTAAATTCTCATTGTTTTCTGTGGCGCATATATATTTGGCGCACTCCTGTGCCAATATATATGTGTTCAAATAAATAATAATAAATAATAAATACTACATGAATGATATATCCTAATAGATAAAAATGATAAATATAAGAATAAGAAGTCACGACTATCATAGATGATTTACTGATGTCAAAATTTTTACTAAATTATCAAAATTATTAACTGTAAATTATTTACCTATGAAAAATGACTTAAGCTGTTAATGCATCAAGGTTTAAAAATATGCTGAAACTCAATGAGAATTATTTATGTTGCTTGAAGTTAAAAAAACGTGGAGATAATATTGACAAAATAAAAGGTCAACTGGATTACATGGATAAGAAGGTTATCAGGAAAAAAATCGAGCGACAAAAGCACCAACTTACGATTTGATGAAATTGTACAATCCGCGATCGAATGACCTGAAACATTTGAACATGAGAAACAAGATTATAAGCGATTTAAAAGATTGAATAAACGTTACGAATATGAAGTCCCTACGAAGCAACTGTCTTGTTCAGTGAATAACTTTACCATGGATTTCGTGAAGTTCTATTCATAAACTATGAACTGTGGAAGTGAAAAATTACAAATTAATAAAATTGGACGAAAATCGTATTATACAACAAATAGGCTCAAGTTGAAAAGACAAAATGATGGATTTGGTGACATAAAAGAAGTGATGCACTTCATTAGGACCTAAAGTTTTCGAACTTGATGTTACGTGCGTTAGTTGGTTCAAACTACTGAGTCGTAAAATAAAATAAAACAGCTTTACAATGTTCTGTAGTAGATGTCATTCAGTATGTATTTACAAACACTAGAATAAACCAGGCTACTGTATTCAAGTTTACGGTGGGTGTTAGTTGGACTTAATGTGGATATAACAATCATAATCTAAAAAAGTTGAAAGAATTGGTATTCTGTACTGAAAAGCGATATTTTTTGTGTCACATAGGACCCTGATAGACAAAAGGATGTCTGGTAAGGCTAATATAAACTTTACACATGATAAATTCTTGGTTATTAATTTACATTTTGTACAAAAATGACGAGTAAATGAAGTTAGTATTTGATGATAAACTTTAACGTAATTTGTGAACAAACACAAGTTGTCCTAACCTTGAACTTGGATTGGTAATTTTTATTTCATTTTTACGTCCTAGGGCAGTGTAAAAAGTTCTCATTCTTTTTACTTTACATCACCACTCTTACTTCCAATTATCGCTTTATTTTGTTGAGATTTTATCTAATTAGTATAGGAAAGGGTTTTGTGGTAGTCGTAGAATTCTCATGACTTCAATCACGAACTGATATGAGCCAGATCACCATTAAAAATCAGCACGCACTGGACACCTGTTTCATCCCAATATGGAAATTCTTGACAATCCCCCTCTATGACATTTATTAGTTTGCGTATAAAGTCTTGAAAAGCATTTGTGTGACCAGATTGTTAAAAATGTATGACGAGAATACACCATATTTTTCACATCAACTCCGTCTTCTCATTACACTATCGAAAGTTGTCAGATATAATAATTAGGCTGACCATAAATTTTTTGAAAGTCACTAAATCAAGAATTAAATCGTTACATTTAACATGTTGATAGAACGACCACTATCTAGAAAGAAAATGTTTAAAATTAAGCGAAATGGCATAAATGATGCAAGATGTCTTTCAGTTTGGAGTTTCCTCACTTATTCAACTTCGTAAGGTATGGTTACTAAGTTGTATAATTTTACCAATGATCATCCTATCTACAAAAAGTTTCGGATAGTAATAGGCAGTGGGGTCTAGAACGCAGGTTTCCTCCTGTCTGGAGCTCGTCAGCTGGATGTGCCTGGACTCGTAATGTTCACATCAGGATTCGAGCTTAGTGAATTTCGAGTCAAACGTCTTCAACACTATGCACTGTTCGAAAGGTTTTGGGCTTGCATCCCGATGCGAACATCATCATGGGTACAGAAACATCCAGCTGACGAGCCCCAGATAGGACGAAATGTGGGTCCTAGGTTCTACTGCTATCCACAATCCCAAAATGCCTGTGACTTAATGAAAACATCAAGGCAATCTACACAGAATGCATACATGCCAAAAGAGACAAGTTTATAACACCAATGGGAAGATTCAAACAACCAATACAAATGAATAAGCTTCCTGGTGTATATCTTGTAGAAAACAATCATATATTTGTATGATGATATTTTGTGCTAGGATTCTAACTGACTGCTCCGTTACTTCAAACCTATCCTCTTATGATCAATATATAATTAGACAAAAAGCACTGAGCAAGTAATCAATACGATGAGATGTCTGAATATATCCCCATTCAAAAGGCAATGAAGCAAAATACTGAACAAATGAGGTGAACTGTTCACGGATTTGATGTGTATAGTTGGTCTGATTTCATTTTTACTAGATAACTCCGATAGAAAAATATTTTCTGAGACAATAAGTATAAACAGTCCTTTTGAATATCAACCACCAGTTATATGGATTATCCCTAAAGTGCGTGAAGCGCATAATTAAAAAAACTAATACATGATTGATATATCTGTTTCAGATTCAGGTTTTGAAAGGATTATGGCAAACGCTGAATGATTTTACTAGATAAAAAGATGCAACGACTTTCAGAAACATCACATTATTAGAACAGAAGTACATTGTAAACTAACCGCCAACATTCAGAAATCAGAAGGAAATGTAAGAGACATGCTGGTGGTTCAGGCATAAACGAAACCTGAATTAGGCTTGGGTCACTATGAGATTTTCTTGTTTGATCAGTGACAGTAGTAGTAGCTTTGGTGTTTCGCCCACATGATTGAAGAATATTCAATAATTTCTGTAACAAATTTATGAGTAGGCATTCGAAATTTGAAAGTACGTATGGCCATCCATAAAATTGTAAATATATAATGAATAAATGTAAACTACGTAAATAAATACTCGCACCCACTGTACCACGATCAATAATAAGATAGTACTGATTTGATTTATTTTGTATAGATAATTCACTAATTTGTGCATAAGAAATCAAATAACCGAATGAATTCGGATAAACTATACAAAGGCATAATGACCAAAATGAGCTCCAGAATATCAACCGGATAGCTTTGGAAACAAGTGATATCAGTGTGTCGAGTAATGCTCTAAAACTGGGTGACAGATGACTGGAATGTAAACTATCAAGATTTTCCTGCAATTTAAAAAAAATAATACAGTTCACTCCTGTTATCTTATTATATTAAACAATTAAAATTGTGCATTCGATTAAATGAGGTTTAAAATAATCCCAGTGTGATGAAAATAATATGCTATCATGAGAGTCGCTTTAGCATATTAGCTTAATAACGAGTAGTAAAGGATCAACAACTAAATTAAAAAGAAAGCTGAGGTTATATGACAGAAGTGTTTTGTTAAAAATTTCAGCGATCTACTTGGCATAATATTTCATTGTCGATGTATGATGATTCTTGTTGGAATAGATAATCAAGGGATTGTTCAAGTTGTTTCTTCCAGGTTTTCATAATGATAATTGACAATATGACAATAATCAGTCACTTAACAGACGAAAAAAATCATTTCATTTTGCCCGTATTTGGATGGAATTCCTTGTAGTGTCGGTTGCTATATCAAGCCTACATAGCTTATTCTAGCTTACGGACAGGCCAACTTATTCATTCTTCTTAAATCACGTTTTGGTCTTGTCAATTATTTGCTTATCAACCTTGACTTTTTATGTAAGCGTATATGTGTGCATTTCATATCTTACTCATCACATGTCTCTAACTTATTTTTGTCTGACCATAAATTTCGATTCACGCCTTGTTAAATTAAGTTGGCTCACTTGCTGTCACCACTGTGCGTCATTTTGTTTTACTTCGCTTCCGATCAACGATTGTACGAAATATACGTGTTCCAAATCCATTCTCGTATTTGACTTATTTAATTCCGTTATTCACTAACGCGATTTAAGTCGATAATTATAGACGAGGATTGGTGACGTGCATATTTCAATAACAATCATTCATACGATCCGAATGGGGTCAGATACAAAGGGTCACTAAATCCTACAACAAAGTTTTCAGTAATGTAGTTAAATGAAGAATTACATTTAGAAATATAACTTCCAAAGAAACCCCTTTCTACAAGTGAGATTCTAATGTATCCAAAGTCGCTAGTACAGTTCACATTGTAATTTAAAGTTTTGACGAGTGTGCTGGTGGGAAATCATTTCAAAAGATTATATTTCTTCCTTTGTTGCTATTTTTCTAAGATAGCCACATTAATTGGAAGAATACGTTTTTCGCGAAGATTTTGAATTTGTTTATAAAAGCAAATATCAGTGTTTAGCGCCAAATTAGTATGTAAAGCATAATCAATTTCACGAATTGATTTCAAGTACAAGTAGTAATACATTCATTTATTAAAATAAAAATATTAACGGGTATCCTTTTTTAAACTACTTCTCTAGTGCCATCATAATTCAGACGAAAAATATTTCAGTGTCATATAAATGAAAGATTGACTATCATATACAACAATATTCATGAATAAAGTTACTATCACATATTTAACGACTACGTAAAATTGAACATAAATGCATCAAAACTTTCCGAAGTAGTTCAGTCCACAGAACCACTCTTCAACAACAATTATGGTAAATGTACAGTTAAACAGTCTAAGATTACATGAAAATATGCAGTAACGCAAGTATAACCAATATTTCGGTTAAATATATGTATAACAGAAGGTGCTGCAACGTATACTTATTGTATACTCGTAACTTTTGATGGATTAATTTAAATAACCAATAATGAGACACACTGTAAATAAATATGGATTTCAAATGTATTTTTTACTGGGATATTCAAAATCTGCTGCTTCTCGTTTTAGGGATATATTTCGATAAAAGCACCTTTTATAAGATGTCTTCCTTTTTTATTTACTGTAATCAATATATATATATATATATATATATATATATATGCCGAGACTTGAAGAAAATCAGTGTCTTCTTGCTTTAACTATGGAACAGCTAGTACGTATCACTTGTTATGAATGAAAAACAACGGAGATTTTGATTTATAATTTATCGAAAATAAATCTGTAGATTCATAACCAAATCTAAATCTACTGAATTATTTACTTAACTGACCAATGGTCAGATCTAAATACATTGAACTGGGCGATCGCTGGCGCCAATTATTCACTAGCTTAGTACTTGTATACACTTTATAATACTAATAAATTTGACTACTTTGACCAACAAATATAACTAAAGTGCTAACATATATGTTGGATCTTCCCCAATAATATACATGTATGATCGTTGTACAGAAGTTGAGAAATTATATAAAAATAAAATAATATTTTTATGAGAATGCTTACCCAGAAATTAACCCAATTTGAATACAAGACGAGTGGACCTAACAGCAATGAATGAGGGTATAAAGAATAGTCTAATACATCCAATAAATATTCTAGTGAGGATTTAGGGGCACAGTTAATGATTGATTCCTCTTTTTCTGTCTTTTTGACAAAAGATGACTTAAAATTGTTCGAACATTTATGGAACGATAACGCCACACTTAAACTGCGTAGAACTATATAAAAATGCGCCGCATACAAGATCATATACCAGTCGTATGATATCAATCCAAAGTTAAACGATGATTCCTGGTTTAAGCAATGTATAAAACACAAGAGGTGATAAGCAGTTGATAATTGTTAGGAAAAAAAGAATTTAGCGAAGAAATTTTTTTTCGACGAAATCATTTACTTAAGCTGTACATTCGTATATATAGTTATATGGAAATAATAATTGTTAACAAACACATCAAAAATATTTACGTATGTTTATATATTTGTACCAATCCAAAATTTGAAAGATACATCTAATGAATCAAATGGTTATCTTTTTAAGAATAAAAGAAGTTTACAACAAAACGCCTCCGTTTTGCCTCTTAAAAATTGATTGCTGTTTTGTTTCTACTTTTAGGAATTTTAAAGATTTTGGACAAATTAGTTTCCATTCAAGTAATCAAAATTCGAGAAGATAACTTAACAAGAAAGGGTTTCTGGTAGATTTGATAAAACCTATCTGTCACTACAACTTTTCCACAAATAAACTCTAAGAGACAAAGTAAGCAATATGAACTTAATTTTAATAAGAGATTATCGTATACCATTGAAATATCAATCTGATTAAAGTTAAAATTGAAATTGTTTGGAAGCTGTGGTTGTTCTTTATCAATATCACATACGAAAATAAAAACTAAGTGCTTTGTACTTTTAGATGCTTTAGGAATTTGCATAGCAAAATGTAAGAACAAGTGGTTTGGTTTCTAGTAAAAGTGAACAATTTGAAAACACTCATGGTAATTCGTGCTTTAGAACGAAATCTTTGTATTCTAATGACTATAAACTTCCATAATAAGTTGTAAGCTACATTGTCGAAACTTCGTTACACATTTTATACTTGTGTAATGGACATATACGAGAAATCATCGAACTTTTAAAAACTGCTACAGTGATTTCATTTTGATATAATTCAATCTATTTTAAGAGTTATTTCAGTCTTTTTAATACGCTTTACATTAAATCTAAAATAAATCCGTTTTTTGATGAAGCGTTTTGTAACAGATTAAGCAGTCGTTAGTGCTATTTAGTTTGAGTCCTAACACAAAAAGTATCAAAAACATCTCCATTACTTTGGTGTTCGCCAGTATTTTATATAGACAGATTTAGTCTTTTCACCGTTTGCAGCAAACTGTCACTTCAGTAAAATCAAAACGAACTAAGTGAAAGCATATACACTTTAAATGTTTCCTACATGGCTTAAAAGTTGAAAACACATACAATAGTGAGTCTCGTAAAAGAATTAAGGAATTAACTAATATTATAGTTCGTTGAACTTACAAAGGATTCAGATGCTTGAAACACTAAAACTGCAAACGCCCATATCAAGAGCCAATTTCCAGAGACCAAATAACTTATGCATGAAAAGCATAATATGTTCAAAAAGACGTCCATTAGGATTTTATAACCCACCAAATAATTTATTAGCCAAATCGATAATATTATTCGACAACATTTGAATATCTACACTGATTGAATAGAAACAAGCATGTAGTACTTTTTTGTTCACCAACGCAAAAACGAATGATGATACGATCGAATAGAGTAAAAGATAAGGTACAAAACTCATCCACAACGGAAGCAACGTCCACTGAAATTCAGCTGCATCTTGCATTAGCACCAAATTTTGAGTTAAACTAACATTTTTCAGTCGTAATAAATTTAGATTTACTGAATTTGTCATTATAATTTGAAAAAATATTTCACCTGGACTTTTCGAAGAGATAAAAAGCTTATAAATCGAATAACTTGGGATAATTAAAGCTATGCCGACATATACAGTTCGTTCCAGAAGAAAAGGCTCAGTCTTGACAGCCATTTTTTTGAAAATAATCTAGGACATGAAACCTGAAGAACAAAAAGGAAGCTCAAATATATCATGAACGGTTTCAAAATGATGATCATGAACTTAAGATTTTGGGGTATAATTTTTTAAGTACGTATGAAAGTCCAGTTTTTTACATGAAGACATAGAAATGAATAGATGCAAGTGAGAAATGTTTGACAACTGTTATTCCAACTACTGGATGTAACAGCCTGTATATTTTCAATAATATTCAGTTAGGTAATTAGTTTCTATTTTTATTTTATCCAAATTTTAGGCTTGATGGGAAATAAATACGATAGCTTTTGAGTAGCCACTGAAAAAAAACTACAACTGTCAAGTACAGTTTGATTAAATCTGACCACATGTATTTCTGCTTTGACGAAACGCTACTAGAAGTTCGCCGACAACCCGGCTAAATCTTTTTAAATGCTCAATATAAGAGGAAAGTTTCTATTATTTACGGATGAATTCCAAACAATAACTTAAGATGTGACTTAAGGTTTGTATGTTAGGCTCGCAAAATGTTTATTTAAGCTTTTTTGAGCAACTAGACAATACAGCTTGTCTCTCGTATTGTTAGTTTATCTTACAACCAGCTACAGGAATTCATGTGCGAGCGATTTTTCTAACACTAGATGTTTAATCAGTGTATTCACTATTGTGAAATACACCAGCCGAAATGGGTGGTTAAAAGCTAAAATTGAGTGTAGAAGTATTTATAACAGCATTTTGACTGCGTGGTCACTTTTTATGGGAGTGACTCTGTGGTTAAGGTAACTTATTCTTAGCCGCTAGTTCACGTGGCGGGGCTTTTCCTTGTCATACTTAGTTTGAATAGTCAAATAGTATTATAATTTGTAGATGAAACCTAAGTACACTTAACAATAAACATATGATTGTTGATTGGGTCGTCATCCAATGATAATTCGATTAATTTGACGATGGAGAAGTCAGGAACACAAACTTTAAGAAAAACCGAACTGTTTTAGATGGAAGCTATATGATTATTTTCGTTGAATAAACAAGTAATTTTTCGGAAGAAAGGTTTTTCAAAGGCGACATACACCGGTAGTTTAGTTTTGTGATGCCTTCTGGACACCGCTCCCCGTAACATTACATAATTGAACGGAAATACTTTTTTATGGATTACTGAAGAAACAAAGTGGATGCTGTGGAAAAATGAGAGGAAATGTGGGGAAAAACCATAAGGATAGAAATAATGTGTTGGGAGAACTTCGGTATACGTATCACAGTTATTCTCTCTCTAATTCCATTTGGGACTGATACGAATTAAACTTCAACGCTAGCTCAATGAAGCAAACGAGCTCCCAATTTGATGCTTTGTTAAATTATATCATTTATATAAAGCATATCAAAGCATCTCGAGAGCTATATGTTAGCAAATTTAAAATCCAGCAAATCAACCCCCTTGACGTTTTAATATGAAACCACATGAGAATATACAAACGAGAATCATTACCTAAATTGACGCGATAATTATATAACAACATTAAATAAACCACAATACGATTTGCAATACTTTGTCCAATATGCAATGCCTATATAACGATCTAATCTAAGAATGGTTCAAATGGTTGTGAACGGAATAGAAGAAGCTTTCGCTTAACAGGCTTCTGTGTCTAGTAGCAGGGGATCACCAAATCCTCCAGGAAGGAACCTAGGTATGTTAACAATAAAAGAGGAAAAGAAATAGGTAATTCATAGTGTGATGCTGTCCTTGGTCCTTAAGAATAGGTCAAGTTGCCTCTTGAAGGACTCCTAAGAAGTCGCTTGAACTAGCTCGGCCGGCAGCGAATTCCAGCTTTTGACAACTCTTAAGGAGTAGAAGTTATGTCTACATTCCGTTTTGCTATGTTGTGTCTCCAGTTTCTGGGTGTTACCCCTTAGGTTATTATTCGAGCAAAGCTTAGGTAGGTGTTTAAGAGGATGTCCAGAAGTGTTAAGAATACTATAAGCCATTAATAAATCACATCTAAGACGCCTACACTCTAATGCGTAAAGGTCTAGTGAATGGAGGCGCTCTTCGTAAGGTTTAGAATTGAGTCCTCGAACTGATTTCGTGGCTCGCAGTTGGATATGCTCCAAAGTGACCTTATCCTTTTGGAGTGAGGGGGGAGTACTATGTTTCCGTACTCTAAATGGGGATGGATGAAACTATTGAAGATTGTATGGAAAGTTCGTCCGTCAAACTGTCCAAAAATGCGCTTCAACGTTACCAGTGCAAGGTTTGCTCGGAAGATATTTTTGTCACAGTTAGCGTAAGACTTTAAATCATGAGGCACCAGGACTCCTAAATCTTTTTCGACTCGGGATACTACTCGAGAGGAGTTTCCTAAGTTGTAACTGTAGCTTGCGACATGTCGCAGATGGACTACTTTACACTTTGAAGTGTTAAAGGTAAGTCCGTTATCGTCTGCTTAACTTTGAAGTCGAGTCAGATCCTCCTGAAGTGCCTGTATATCGTCTTGGTTGCGTATCTCTCTCCAAAGTTTCACGTCGTCGGCAAAAAGTGATTGAATTCATTGATTGATGTCTTGAAATTAAGAAAAAAATAAGTCTCTTAAGTTTGGTAGTATAAGCAGAATAAATAGGTAGGTATTATGATTTTTACATTTATAAGTACATATCATTAGAAAATTTGATGGTTGATATCATTAGTCATCTGAAGCCAGACCACAATGGAAAACCTGAAAACATCGGACAGCCAGTTCGTCCTATTCTAAGACTCCTCAGATAGATATTAACACCGTTGTATACAGGCGCAGTGATGCGGAGCTTAACAGTTCGCGCGCGAAACCGACATGTTCTGGTTTCGAAACTTGCGAGACAGGATCTTGGATGCGCACTCCTGAGGAGTCCACAACAGGACGAAATGACCGCCCAGTGCTTCCAGGTTTTCCATGGTAGTCTAGATTCAATTGACTGATTATCTCGACCATTAAAATTACTATAATATCCACAAAACACGTTCTGATACCTCATTAGATTATCACTATCGGCAGATGAATTTGAAAGAATTGATCGTAATGGATCGAAGATCGCTCGTTATTTCGTGTGCTGTAAAGTTTCATCACACCGTAGTTGTGTTTTTGGGATAGATGTATGAATCGAATTTGTCATCGTTGTGAGTTCAAGATTGGATTACATTTAGAAGGAGTGAACTATTTATCTGGAGAAACAAGAGACGAACGTTCACGCTAAATTTACATGGAAAATTAGTCGGTAACTTTTCTTAGTAATAACTATTGGCAGTCATTCTGAGAACTTGGACTTGTGAACGTTCTAACTGTATTGCATTTCAGTCATCCTTGTCTTCAGCTGCCTGACATTTCGTCCATTGTTCCACTGTTTGTATATCCGAAGACTAAACTCTCAGTATGTCAAAATCGCACATTACGTGCGTTTTATGAGTCCGCCTTATATGGCAATTTAATGTTTCTGAAGTCATTCAGTGACAACATGTTCCACGTTACTAGTTTTCATATGTTCACTAATTTAGTGTATTGTGGTCAGATCATTCCGGTCTTTTAACACGATATGTGCAATGAGTACATCAAACAGTCGTCGGTTGATTACAGTGATGAAATACCGGGACAGTAACAAAGAAAGCGTCTTCTTTAATACATATCACACCTAAGATATCGTAAGGTTACTACTACAATACACTCAAAATGCAAATTAACCTTTTCAAGTTTAATTACCTGGAACAACGTCTAAACTACATATATAGGATGGTTCTCTCATATCAGCGGACTGAAGATGGCGTTAAATATGGGCTTAAACTGTAAAACGCAATGCCATCAATACATAAGTTTATCTTTTCCATTATATGTCGAAGCGGGATATTGAATCATCATGTTTCTTGACAGATATCGACCATTCCCTTACGTGAAATAGATATAATTTATTGCAAATTTTTCGGCACCATAAGACAAACACAAAACAATGTCGTTGATAGCATATACGTCAATCTTCGATTATTTATTTATGATATAATATCCAGGACTATCGATGAAACGAACCTCATGATTTGCGAACTCGTTATTAAAAATTCTGAAAGTTCATTTGACGCAGAGAACTAAATAGTGCCTTGAGGCAGATGTTCTGTAATCAAAGCAGCAAAAAGCACTTTTTGCGATATATAAGAACTATAAATTGTACAGAAAATCTTTTGGTTGTTAGATTTTGTTTATCTCTTCAACCTTAGGCTAATTTCATTATTCGCCATCGAATAATTCAGCGGGCTGTTGGAAATTACGAGTTTAAGCGATGTTGGCTGACGGTTTTCCCCCAGGTAAGGTTTCACTTACCTACCTTTTTGTTTACTTTACGTTCTTTTTTATTAGTTTGATCTATATCTCCTTTATCTTGATATCTTGTCATTCAAATCACGTTACCTTCGTGGCTGTCTCAAATCTACCTGTTGTTCTAAATACACATGTATACATTATTTTACCTTTACGCTTCAAATTGTTCAGCTTACTTTTTAAATATTTCTGTATGGCAAGTAATGGAATATTCACGTATCCTGTTAACTCACCGGTTTCGTTCCTTTGAGTGACTTAATTTCTCCGTGTTCAGTTTGTGTGTAATGACAATAAATCTGCATTTTGGTCAGTCGGCTACCGTACACTTAAATATAATCCGTTGGGGTACCACTTGACTTGATTCATTGCCAAGGGTTTTGTTCAATCAAAAGAAACAAACTTTTAGTTCATGCTTAGACGGTTTTTGTCTTTTTAAATCCTTTTGTTATCACTCCTCTTTGCTATTACCGCATACTTGTTTGTCTCAAATAGCTAGCGGTTATTCGGGATCACGATATTTCTCAGACCGATTCAATTTACTTTCCTGATTGTCCCGATTACTAAAACTGCCATTGGAATAGCTCAAACTGTAGTGCGTATGATTATTACTGTAATATTTTTTGGTTATCTTTAATTCTACCCTACTTCATTCTGAAACTATCCCCTCTGACTTTAAGGTTATAAGTTTTTAGTTTCATTCATCAATACTACTTTTCATGATTGTCAATGCACATTTTGAATAATCTTATTGGACTTGTGTAGCTGTGTCAGTACTTAATAGTTTAATGGATTCGACAGCAAACTTGTTTCGATAACCGCCCACTGGACTCCACGGACATAGTGTTGTCTTTATGAAAATATTTAAAGCTCACGCAGTGTATTTCAAGCCATTTTTCGATTTAATTATCGGGTTTTTATCTAGACTGTCGAATATGCTCATAGTTGTGGTTGCATTTTGCTTATCAAGGCGCCATAGTTGGTTAGATGTAGGCTAGATTTTAAAATGTAGTCAATTAACTGCGCATAGATTGTTTAACCTAATGCAGTCACATTATTTGGGGGATAATTATGATACTGATAGTCATGAAATTTGGCGGATTTATGCTAAGGGTATTTACCCTATGACAGTATTGGTTCGCTCAACTTAGCGGAGGTAAGATAAATTTCGCACCACTATGCCTGAGTAGGGCCTTAAGCACACAAAACTGAGTAGTTGCTACATAAATATGCATTCCATTGTAAGCAAAGAAACAATTAATATATTGTTGCAATGTATTCACTTTCCACTAGACATCTATATATCTTGCCTATGCGGAAAGCGGTGTTGTTTAAAACAATGTGGATCTTTTAATCTTACCAAAAGTCAAACACTAACTCAAAGACACGAGTTCAGTAAGAAGTTATGCTGCTCGACTACTGCACTTTTAGTGACCATAACGATAGTCGTGCAAAAATTTCCCTAGGTCATATTTCGAAATTCGGAGTAGGAAGTTGCAAGAAGTGCATCCCAAGTTTTCTGAGTAAATACTTCTTACCTACCCTGAAAACTAGCAACGTTAAGTGTCTTCAGATAGGGTAAAGCATGTTTTCCAGACACCTTAAAAATTGTGGCATAAAAATCTTCGAAAATGTCGAGTAAGGTATCGTCAAACTTTGAGTGAATTTTAACACTATTAAGGGGGTCATTGTGAAAAAAACACAGACATAATAGACAGGTAAATGATGTCACTTCGGTTTTGTGATGGGATATGACCCATTTCAAGCAACGTTTAGTCGTCAGTATTCTAATATCATCATGGTTTGGCTGTTCATTTGTTCTTCTCAGAGATCTGAGTTGGTTTTTTGTATTGGCGCGTTTCTCCATTTACTACTGCAATTACTCTCTTAAAACTGTCTCACTTTAACACCCGTCTTACTCTTCCATTTATATTTTCAGGTAAAATGGATTGTTCAAACGGTTGTCCCATTTCGGAGAAGGGTAAGACTAATTGTTGGCAGATGTTTTCATAAGGCCAAAACAAATTTGGCAGTGCCTATACATTCGATTACTTTCGGTTAAGTGTTTTCTTTCAAGTGATCTTTATTTCATGACATAAGTAGGAATCACTTGTGTAGGTAGCTCGAGTTTCATAATCGCAAAACATATTTCTAGTAAGTAAGTAGACCATCGCTCATCTCGCTGTAAATT